AGGGGGAACGGTGTTTGCAGCATCTGGAGTCATCGATCTTCCTTTTCCTTCCTAATTTCGTGGGCGCTGAGTTTGCAGACGGATGAGAGAGGGAGGGAGCACTGGGATGAGGGGGTGGGGGAAGGGCCGGGCGCGGGTTTGGAGGGCGGGGCCGCGACGCCGCTGCTAGCCGCTTGCAAACACAGGCCCCTCCAGCCAGCTGCCCACCCTCCCCACCCCCGCCTCCAGCTCTTTCCTGCAGCCGCGGCTGCTAATTTTATCCGCCCCCAACCCTGGCCCGGGCGTTAATTGGCTGCGGCTTCATTAGCAGTTCTCAGCTCAGCGGCCCCCCTCCCCGTGGGACCCCTGACTGGGGCGAGGGAGGGGGTTCGGACAAGCTGAGGCACCGAGACCGGCCCTCCTCCTCCGCCTTGCTTCCCGGTGTCCACTGTCCAGGTGCCCCCTGGGGGAGGGCCATGTTCCCCAGGAGATCCCCCCCACACACACACACACAGCCAGAAACTGAGTCAGGGCCAGGTCTGACCCAGACAGGCCAGGGTATGAGAAGTCTGCGAGCAGAAAGTCAGCGGCTGCTAGGTGGATGGGTGGACCGGTGGACAGGTGGATGCCCGCTGAGAGGGTGGCTGGGCCAAGGACAGACTCAGCCCAGCGCAAGCGGGCACGGGGAGGGGCCCTGGGTCAGAGGTTGCAGGAAGAACCCAGAAGGCTCGTACTGCCTGAGGAAAGCTGAGCTGGAGTGGCGGGAAGGAGGTTGGAGCTGAGGGTATGACCACTAGGTGGGAATGACTGGAATTAGCAAGGTAGCTCCGTGGGCCTCGGCTTCCTCCCTTGTAACGATGTCGCCGTAAAATCACACGGGGTGGGGGGGAGGAGATGAGACTTTGCTTGGGAACGCACTTGTGGGACAGATCAGCTCCTCTTCCTCTGGCTCAGGTACCTGTTTCCTCCAAGGCCACCTCCTCCTCCCCTCCCTGCCCCTCCCCACTCCCTCTGGGCCTCTGGGAGCAGAGTGAGGCATCCCTGCATATTACTGATCTAGACACATGTTGTAACCTGTCCACTTCTTTTTTTTTAAAAAATTATTTATTTGAAAGGCAGAGTTATACACACACACACACACACACACACATATATATATATAGAGAGAGAGAGAGGTCTTCCATCCTCTGGTTCACTCCAAAATGGGCACAACTGCCAGAGCTGCGCCGATCCAAAGCCAGGAGCCAGGAGCTTCTTCCGGGTCTCCCACGTGGGTGGCAGGGGCCCAAGCACCTGGGCCATCTTCTGCTGTTTTCCCAGGTGCATCAGCAGGGAGCTGGATCGGAAGTGGAGCAGCCTGGACTTGAACCGGCACCTATGTGGGATGCTGGAGCTGCAGGCAGAGGCTTACCCTGCTAAGCCAGGGCGCTGGCCCCAACCTGTCTACCTCTTGATGTCCCAGCAGCCAGTGAGCCCTCCTTAATAACTCCAGTGCCATGCCCAGCTCCCGGCGGAGCCGGAGTTCCATTTGTCAGTTGAATGAATGGATGAATGTGTGTAATATGGCTGTGTGAGGAATGGTTCCCCAAACCACTGCTTTTTAGGTTCCCGGAGGAGAGGTTTGCTTATGTGTTAGCACAAGTGGGCGGAATGCCCACACTTTGTCAACCACCTCTGAGGAGAGGCCTCTCACTCATCTGGGAACTGCCCAGGGGTTTTATCCAGATGAAGGAAGGCTAAGGAGAAGATCCCTCCCGGTTCCCAGGATCTGTGCCTCTGGGGTTGGATATAAAGGCCTTCGCTGGCTGCTGGGACATCAAGAGGCTGATGAACAGGCAACAGAACGCAACAGGTGCATAACAGGAGGGGCTGTCTGCTCTCGGGTTTGTCAGGAAAGGCAGAGGACGGCCTCAGAGGGATCCGGGGTGGCTCAGAAGCAGATCAGCCCCAGAGCACTTCCCATGAATACTGCCAGTCCATCACCCAGCATGTGCTATTTCACTGTGGCTTTACAAGTGAGGAAACTGAGGCCCACACAGGCTAACTTGCTAGTTAGTCCTGGAGCTGGGACTTGAACTCAGGTCTCTCCCCCTTGTAAACCAGGATACCATAACAGCTCTCTGTTTTGTACAGGAGTCTTTGAATCTCCCAGATTGCTAATAATGCTAGGTATTCAGTACGCACCCAATCAACTTGTCTTGACAATCGACAAGAAAATGAAATCCTGAAAAGCTGAACTGTAAGGAGTAGGGTGGCAATGAATCTCTTTTATTCCAGGCAAGGGCTTTTAATCCTGGGACTACAGATGGGGGGAAAGAAGCGGAAGAAACGAGAAAAACTACAATTCCCAAAAGGCTCAAAAGGTCACTATCACGCATGCGTAGATCCCGCCCCTGAAATCTGGCTCGGCGGGTAGATCTCGCGCACGCGCTCTCACATCGGGTCTGTTTCCGACCCCCTGCTACCTCGGGCCAGAGTTGGTGGCTGGACCTTCTGCGACCTGTGGTTGCCATGCTGCCCTTCTCTTTGCTCTGGGCAGTTCGGGTAAGAATGGGGCTCCGGAGGCAGGGTGACTAGTGGAAAAGAACCCCTCCCCCTTCCTAGTTCCCATTCACAAACTCTGGGGTTCTCTTGGCTTTTCCACCGCATGTGCTCATGTATGTATGTAACTAGGGAGTTCCCCGAAACCGCTGGGCACGCGAGGGGTGAGCTGGGGACCCTCGCTGTTCCAGCGTTCAGTCGCCACAGAGCCGCGTGACCGCCCACTTCACGTGGCACGAGGGGAGAGGACCGCGCCGGATGCCCTGGGGACCCTGTACTGGGGAACTAGCTGGGTTCCCGGCCCGGACCAGCAAACCGAACCTTTGCGGCCGGCTCTGAACCATGCACATGATGCAACTGAGCCCCACCGCTTGCATCAGGCAGGGGTCCAGCCAGCGGTAGTGTGGCTGGACGGAGGTGGAAAAGTTAGGGGTGAAGGGAACAGGATATGGTTTTTGGCTTCCCTTTCAGCCAAACAACTCCCCTCCCCAACACGTACCTGTAACCCAGGGGCTGCAGAGGGTCTACCCTCCCACCTCCATCCCTGGGAAAACCACCTCCACAGCCTGTGTGGACTTGGCCTGGGGTAGCAGGTCCCCCACCACCACCCCAGATGGCCCTTTTGTCCCTGTGGGCGGGCAGGTTCTAGAACCTCAGGGGCCCTTTCCTGGGTTTGGGGTTTGGGGCGTACAGACATGGAGGACAACTTTACCCTGGGACTTCACGTAATGGCTTCTGGGGTGAGGTGGAGGGAGTTTCGAAGGAGGTGAGCTGAGTGGAGTGAATCAGTACCACCCCCTGGACCTTGATCTCAACCTTGGTCTGGAACTGGCTTTGAAAGATAGAGGTGGAGGTGGCAAGAACGGGAGCCAGCTGGCTGGACCACTGGCCATTTGGTGTATGGCCAGAGGGCCGTGTGAGCCTGGCTGGGGGTGATTGGGAGACCGCCTGGGTGAGTTGGGATTGACCCTGGCTTTTCCTGCCCCCAGCCTCTGCAGAGATGTGGTCCGCTGGTCAGGACGGCCGTGCGGGCTCAGCACGGCAAGGCGGCGCAGACTCAGACTGGGGAAGCGAGCAGGGGCTGGACCGGCCAGGAGAGCCTCTCGGACACTGACCCTGAGATGTGGGAGCTGTTGCAGAGGGAGAAGGACAGGCAGTGCCGTGGCCTGGAACTCATTGCGTCAGAGGTGGGACCCTGGGAGCGGGGCGTGGAGCAGGTGCAGGACGAAAGAAGTTGTCTTAGTGAGACTTCTGGTGTCCCCTCAGGCCCGGCCCTTTCTGCTGGGCGTGTCTCCTCTTTGGACTGTCCTCTCAAACGACGACAGAGCCAGCCTGCTTAAGGGGATGTGGCATCCAGGCATCCCACAGCCTTCCAGGGCCGCTCCAGGCTCCTCCGCTTCCTCCTGCCCTCCCTGGAGGGAAGAGCAGCCTGGAGGCACGTGTCAGGGTGCACCAGGGGCCTCGCTGGGGACACGCATCGTGGCAGCTGGGGTTCTGAGAATGGTGCCTCTGGCAAGGCACCCTGAGCTCCCTGCGGGGCCCTGGCAGGGTGGGGCTGTGGGGGTCCAGAGGGAGGGACTCCGTGCCGTCTGACCTTGCCCCCCCACCACCCCAGAACTTCTGCAGCCGAGCTGCGCTGGAGGCCCTGGGGTCCTGTCTGAACAACAAGTACTCGGAGGGTTATCCTGGCAAGAGGTGAGGGCGAGGCACCCCAGGGCTGGAGGGCGACATCAGGGCTGGTGCTCCCGACGGGGGACCTACCTGGACCCTCCCGGTGTTTATCGAGGAGTGACCTTGCCAGTCCTTGGCTGCTGGCCCAGGTCCCTTCTCTGGGCCCTTATGCACGCCTCTCCTGCCACAGATACTACGGGGGAGCAGAGGTGGTGGATGAGATTGAGCTGCTGTGCCAGCGCCGGGCCCTGGAAGCCTTTGACCTGGATCCTGCCCAGTGGGGAGTCAACGTCCAGCCCTACTCGGGGTCCCCAGCCAATCTGGCTGCCTACACAGCCCTTCTGCAGCCTCACGACCGCATCATGGGGCTGGACCTGCCTGATGGGGGCCAGTGAGTGTGGAGGGGAACAGTGAGGGGGCGGGACTGGGGTAAGGAAGGAGTTTTCTGCCGACACCTGCTGTTCGCGCGCCGTGCGGACGGCACAGGCTTGTCCCTGTCCCATGTGTTACTGTGGATGAGGGACGCGAGACTGGCAGCATCAGAGCCCACCAGAGTGACAGAGCAGGGCGGGCGGACGAGCGGGGAGCTGTATTCTGGGACAGAGGCCTGGGGAGCTTGGCAGGCAGGGAGTGGCTAAGTCTGGCTCGTTCCACTCTGAGGCCCCCTAACCCTTGCTCCTTTCCCAGCCTTACGCACGGCTACATGTCCGATGTGAAGCGTGTATCAGCCACCTCCATCTTCTTCGAGTCTATGCCCTATAAGCTCAACGTGAGTGCTGTGCCACGGACGGGGCTGCTCCAGCCTGGGGCTCCTCTGTCCAGGCGGTAGCAGGGGATGAGGTGGGGGGCTGGAGCCCTGGGCAGCCCTGAGGACCGGGGGGAGAGGGAGCTGCCCTGCTGCCTCCCTAGGGCTTGAGCTGGCTGTCTGTCTCTCCTGTCTAGCCCCAAACCGGCCTCATCGACTATGAGCAGCTGGCTCTGACTGCCCGGCTTTTCCGGCCGCGGCTTATTATAGCCGGGACCAGTGCCTACGCGCGCCTCATTGACTACGCCCGCATGAGAGAGGTTGGTGGGGCGCCCCGGCCCAGAGGTTTGGGAAGGGGTGCAGCCTTCCCCTGCTGAGGCCTGTCTCCCTACCTGTCCAGGTGTGTGACGAGGTCAAGGCGCACCTGCTGGCAGACATGGCCCACATCAGCGGCCTGGTGGCTGCCAAGGTGATCCCCTCACCTTTCAAGCATGCCGACGTTGTCACCACCACCACCCACAAGACTCTCCGAGGGGCCAGGTCAGGCTTCTCTGCGGGCAGGCCTTGCCCTTCCCCGCCTTCACGCCCTGTTCCTGTCCACCCAGTCTGTCCATGGTGGCCATTCCCTGGCAGGGGACGCAGGGGTGGGAAACCAGAACATCAAGCGCGGCCGAGGGGCCCAGGCCGGCCAGCTCCCTCCACCTTCCCCAGCTCAGCCTCTGATCACACACCCTGCACCCAGGTCGGGCCTCATCTTCTACCGCAAGGGAGTACGGACCGTGGACCCTAAGACTGGCCAGGAGATCCCTTACACGTTTGAGGACCGGATCAACTTCGCTGTGTTCCCATCGCTGCAGGGGGGCCCCCACAACCATGCCATTGCTGCAGTAGCCGTGGCCCTGAAGCAGGTGGGCAGCCTGCTCTTGGGGACTGGATGGGGCACACAGGCCCGAGGGCATGGCCTCTGCACCTTGCTAACTCAAGTGGGGGCTGATGGAAGGAAAGTGCGGGAGAGGCCAAGGCTGGAGTCCAGGGGCAGGCTGGGGGTGAAGCCGGGCAGGGCCACAGTTGCTGCTGTCTTACTTGCAGGCCTGCACCCCCATGTTCCGGGAGTACTCCCTGCAGGTTCTGAAGAACGCCCGGGCCATGGCTGACGCGCTGCTGGAGCGAGGCTACTCCCTGGTGTCCGGTGAGCCAGGGAGGATGGATGAGGATTTTGGGGCTCTGGGTGGAGGCCCAGGACTCACCACGCTCCCATTTTTATCCCCCCATTAGGTGGCACCGACAACCACCTGGTGCTGGTGGACCTGCGACCCAAGGGTCTGGATGGAGCTCGGGCTGAGCGGGTACTGGAGCTTGTCTCCATTACTGCCAACAAGAACACCTGTCCTGGAGACAGAAGTGCCATCACCCCCGGGGGCCTGCGGCTTGGTGAGCCCCGGGGTCTGGGAAGGAAGGGCCCACACCCCACCGGGGGGCTGCCCTGTGGTGCTACTCCTGCCCCTCTGCTTCTCTCCCAGGGGCCCCCGCCCTGACCTCTCGGCAGTTCCGTGAGGATGACTTCCGGAGAGTTGTGGACTTCATAGACGAGGGGGTTAACATCGGTTTGGAGGTGAAGAGGAAGACTGGTGAGTGGGCACGGCAGAGCCAGGGCCAGCGGGTTTCCCATGACCGCCTGCCCCGAGCACTGACCACTGACTGCGCTTCTCTGCCTGCCCCTGTCTAGCCAAGCTCCAGGATTTCAAGTCCTTCCTGCTCAAGGACCCGGAAACAAGTCAGCGTCTGGCGGACCTCAGGCGCCGCGTGCAGCAGTTCGCCAGGGCCTTCCCTATGCCTGGCTTTCCTGAGCACTGAGGGCGCCTGGGAAATGAGGCCCAGGCTGGGGGGGGGGGGGCGGCGGCGATGGCCACCTGTCTTTCCAGCAGGCCTGCAGGGCAAGAGCCAGGCTGAATCCCCCTTCCTACAACCTGTAGCTCAGAGAAAGAGAATTTTTGTAACAAGACTTGGCCTCCGTGGAGCGTTCTGCCCTAACTCTCAGTGTTACAGACCCCCCACCCCTTCTTGAGAAGGGGGGCGTTACCCTTCTGAGCCAGTGGAAGCGGTGGGTGGGTACCCTCCTTCCTGTTTTTATCTAATAAAATGCTCACCTGCCCCGCATTTCTGCTGCTATGGGAGGGGTCCCCTGGGCGTGTGGTGATTCCTCTCCCTCCAAGTGTACCTCCCTACCCCGCCCCCCCACCACAAGGACCCCCGGGGCTGCAGCCTCCTCTCTGTCTCTGATCAGAGCCGACACCAGACGTGATTAGCAGGCGCAGCAAATTCAATTTGTTAAATGAAATTGTATTTTGCCCACGGCTGCTTCTGTTTGATCCCGGGGGATGGAGGGGAGCAAGGGAGGGGAGGGGTGGGGAGCGGCAGGGGGAAGCCCAGGTGGGAGGCGAGAGGGTCGCCTTTGGCGCTGGAAGCTGCCGGCTTGGGCTGGGGACGGACTGTCCCGTACTGGGCGGGCAGGCTGGGCGGCGCCAGACGAGCCCTGCCGAGCCTGAGCAGCGCCGCCCCTGGCAGGCGCCGGGAGCCTGGGCCAACGTGGGGCCCGCCACGTCGTTTGGCACTCAGAGGCCCCTGCTCGCTGTTGGCTCATGTCGGCCACGCTCAGCACGTAGCCTGCGCCACACCCTGCAGAGTGGGGTAGGAGGGCCGAGCAGCTGGTTTGGGCCTTTTGGGTGCCCCCTGGGGCTGCTGCCTGCCCTCCCCCACGTGGGACCGCAGCCGAGGGTCAGAGGCGCTTCCGCTGGGGAGCGAGGGAGGAGGGTGGGGGTGGGGCCGCTGCCTCTGTGCGTGGGAACGTGGCCTGTGGGAGCAAGAGCTGGACGGGGGCACACACTGATGCCTAGGGGGTCTACAGGCACGGAGTAGAAACCGGGGCGCTGGCCAGCGCAGCCCAGTGCAGCTTAGAAGTCTGGCCGGTCCTTCTTCAGCTTCTTATAGTCAGTGGACACTGCAAGGAACTGAGAGAGGGAGAGGTGGGCCCCGGGGCCAGGACGAGCCGGTGGGGGAGCACCCTGGAGCAAGCACACACCTTGTATTGGTCATTGGGGCTCAGGCGGTTCCAGGGCTCCGGATTGTTCTTGCGGTCCCAGCTGCGGAGCACGATGGACAGGGCTGGGGTCTCAGGGAGCCAGGACTCCTGAAGCCTGCGTGAGCCCCGGGCCCCAGCTGGAGTCCCTGCTCCCCCACCCTTCCCCCATCCACCCACCCACCCATGTCTCCAGCTCTAGGGGCCCGCTTCCCAGAGTGGGGGTATGTTAGCAGGTGCTGACAATGCAGACAGGCAGCTTGTCACCATTGTCAGCGTGGGGGCTGGTGACTCCCGCCCGCTCACTGCCGCCCCAGACGGACACCACAGAGCAGAGTCCGGGAACTGGGCACAGATTATCCAAGGGCGGCGGATTCGGAGAGTGCCGCGCGGCCGGCACGCCTGCTGCGGGTTGGAGGACCTCCACCCTCACTGCCTCAGCGACCGGCGTGAAGTCCCCTCGACACCCCGGGCCCAGTGGTGCCCGCTGCAGCGAACGCGGCCGTGCCCCAGGTGCTCCAGGGCGCTGGACTTAGGTGCCCCAAAGCGGGAGGCCATCGGCAGAGCGGCGTCGCCATGGCAACCAGGCCGGGAGCCCCAGACGAGCGGGCGCCCAGGCAGGCCAGAGCCGAGATCGGGGTCTCCCAGGTTAGGAGTGGGCTCCAGCCCTGAGATACGGTGTGGTACAGCCCGAGATACCTGGCCAGGACTGCTCGCTCCCACCGCTGCTGGTGGCCAATGACTTCCCGCCCCACCCAAGACCCCTGCGGGAGTGCCACGCCTGTCCTTTACCACACGTCGGGGCTGCGCAGAGCGAGTCGCAGCAGGTAGAGCCCAGCGCTGCCCATGCCCAGCGCGATGAAGCCGATCATCGGGATGAGCTGCAGGGCACACGGAGGGCACCTTCAGGGTTAGCCCCTGCCCCCCAGCTCTCTGCCTGCCCCACCCCCACCCTGCCTCTGACTCCCTCCCTTCTGGGGTAGGGAACCTGGAAGTTCTTAAGATCACCCTGGTCTCACCCCAGGGCGTTTCTGTTCAAGGCAGCCTGGAGGGACAGATCAGGGCTCCTGGGGACGACTGGGAGCCTTGGAGCAACGGGCCCCAGGCAGGGCCCGCGGGACACGGGGTGGGGCAGTGGATCTGCGGCCAGAGGTGGCACTCACCCCCGGATGCCTTTTGATCTGCCGGTAGAAGCGGGCCCCTAGACCGGTTGCTGCCATAGCGCCTCTCCTGTGTCTCCTTCCCAGTGCCTCGGATCTCTCCCTCCTCTCGGGGTCCCGCCCCTGCAGGGAGGGGTCAGCCCAGCTGGGCTGGCCGCTTCTGCAGATTCACCCCACCCCATGTTCCTCACTCCTGCCTGCAAGTCCAGGCCCAGGACAGGAGAGGAGTTGCTGGGGAGCACACAGGTCTCTGACTCTCTGTTTTCCCTGGCTGCACCCCTTTGGAGGTTTAGGCATCTGAGGGCGGGAGGTGCCTCGCAGGCTCCGCACTTGGAGACTCACCAGGGAAGGGGGATGGCTGTGGGACAGATATGCAGACGGACCTGCAGCAAGATACACCTGTGGCACGTGTTCACGGGTGTGTGGCAGGGGACCAGTGAGGGCGTCTGTAGCGTTACCCTGAGGCCCCTCAGGTAACTGGCAGGGCTGGCAGTGTCGCTATCCATCCAGTGACTGCCATCACTAAACACTGCCCCAACCCCTGTTGTGGTCGCCCCCCCCCCCACGGGGGGGTGTTGGAGGACCGGAAGGAGGCCTGTCTTCATCCAGGCTCAGGACACGGTAGGTCAGTAGTGGCACGGTGGGGGCTTGAGGGACCAAGCTGACCCTGCTAGCTACCTAGGGTAGGGGTGCAGGAGGCCACGCCCACGGAAACCAGCCTGTGCCTCTGGGCTGTGGCCTGGCAAGGAATAGAACTGGGTTGGGGGAAAGACGGAGAAGATGTTGAGGGAGGAAGAACAAGACACAGACTGGCGCTTCTCAGCCAACGCAGGTGTAGGCTGCGTTGCCGGGGGTGGGGGTGGGGTGGGGGGGGATGGGGGACCTGCACACCCGCCCCCTGTCTGGGGAGTTGGGGTCTTAGGGACGCAGGAGCTGAGCCCTAACTGCCCCTCCGCACTCCCTGGCTAACCTCCGGCGACCTCCCCAAATCTCCCCTCCAGAGCCCGTCCCGTGCCCCTGCCGCTGTGCCCCTCGGGGTGCGGGGAGGGGAGCCCCCTCCCTTTCTCGCGCGCTGATCCCTCCCCCGCCCCCTGCGCTGCCAAGCGCGGCTGTAATTAGGCTGTGGGGTCCCGGGCTCTCCGCCTCCCTCAGGCGGATAATGAGATAAAGTGTCAGAGACACGGCGAGAACAAAGAGACAGAGACTCGCTGCGACGCGTGTGCGGGGCGGGGGCGGGGGCTGACGGGTGTCAGAGCCGCGGCAGCACCGAGCCCTCCCCGTGCACACGCACCCCTGGCCCTCTAGGCTGCGGGCTCCGCCCGAGCGGCCGCACATCTGGGCTGCACATCTGGCATCTGTGGCACAGCTGGGCAGCAGGGTGCTGGCAGCGACGCCGGGCTCTTCTCTTGAGGTCCGGGGACCCGGGCCTGGTGAGCCCGGGGCCCTCGGTCCAGCTCCTTTCTTAGAGCCACTGGCCTTGAACCTGGCCCCCCAACCCCCCACTCTCCAAGCTGCACTGTGACATGATTGCTTCTGCTCCCCGCGTCCGCGACGCCCCGACCCTTCGCCTGCCTCAGGTCTCGGGGCTGTGAGCCCATCTCTACCCGGCCTCCTATCTTTGCTTGCCGTCCACGGTCTCTGGGGGCCAAGTTGAAGCAGAACTCTTTGGGTTCAAGATCCCCTCTGCCCCCGCCCCCCCCCCCCCCCCTTCCCTGAGGGATGGCAGGACTCATTAGGCACGGATTAGGCTAAACCACACCAGGATGCTAATCCATGCGCTGTTGGGGCAGCAGGTCAAACGCAGCTGGGCTCCGCGTGGCCCCTGAGTAGCCGGGTCCGTGGGTGCGGGCGCCCCCTAGAGGCCGAATGGCTCCCAACTCGGCGGGGGGGCCCGAGGCCTCGGGCGCCCCCTGTCGGGAGGCCTTGGCCCTGCACTCCCAGCGCTGGAGCAGGTAAAACCAACCCTGGTCCACGCCCAGCCGGGCACTCCGGATAATCCCGCTGCTGAGACAGTGGGCGCCTCAGCCTCCACTCTCGTGGTGTGAGGTGGGTACAAAGGGCGGATCGAGGACACGGGAGCTTCCCGGGCATCAGGCTGGTCCTCTCCTGGGGCCGGGCGGCCTCACGTGCCTGGGGCTCCCATGACTGCTCTCTACCCTGTGAGCAGACCTGCCCTGGCATCTGACTGCCCTTCTTCCCGCCTCATCTGCAGGCCGTGTGTCCCGTTGTCTCTGTTTGGCTCTGGCTCTGGGTATGTCTGCCTCTCCGGTGCCCACCGTCCTGGCTTTGTCTGTCTGTCTCTTTTCTGCTGTGCTCTCCACCAGCATCTGTTTCTGTGTCTCTCTCTCTTTTCCTCTACCTCTCTCCTCGGCGCCGTGGCTCTTTACCAACACCGATTTCTGTCTCTGCCTCTCTGCTTGCCACCCCTCCCCCCCATTCCTAGTCTTCTGCTGGCGCCCCGAGGGGCTGCAGCAGTCCAACAGGACAGCCCGGGGACAGCGCTGGGCACTGCTTGGGGTCCCCCTCCCGGTCACCTCCACATGCCCATCACCTCTGCACGGCCTCCTTCTTCCAGCTGCAGCTGTGGGACGGGGAGGGGGCGGCTGGAGGAGAGACACAGGGCCCAGCAGCTGCTCGGGAGCCCTGGGGTCCCTGACCCCCTCTGCCACTATTAAGGGCGTCGGGTCCCGAGGCTCTGAGACGGTCGTGATTGCATCAGCCAGACAGAAGCGGAGCCGGGAGCCGCGCGGCCAAGCGAGCGAGACAAAGACGCTCACGCCATCTGTTTATGCAAAGCGCTCTCCGCCGGGGACCCTGGCGTCCCGGCGCCTGGCCCAGCTCGGGGCACGGGGTCAAGAGCCCGCTGCCGTGTGGCGTCCCCGCCGCGCCTTGGCTTTCCCCCTCCCCAGCACCCAGAGGGGCCGCGGGGCGAGCGGAACGGGGAGGGGGCGGGGGGTTGATGTGATTGGAGCGGACGCGGCTGTTTCTTCAATAATGGATGGAGATGATGCGGACGGCGGAGCCGAGCCGGCCGGGAGAGGAGAGAGGAATAGAAATAGGGAGAGGAAGCAGCGGGGGCGGGAGACTCACCCAGGCGCGCGCGCACACACGCGTGCGTCACACTGTCATTTGGAGACTCGCCGCCGCGCGGCTCACACCCAGGCACACGCCCACGCACTGTCACCGAGACACACACCTGCAGGCGGAGACGCCCAAAGCAACACACACTCACCGGTGGCTCTTCCCGATTTTCACACCTGACACAGGGATATACCGGCTCGCGCGTGGGGGCGCACGCCGGCGTGAAGGGCACACAGACACGTCCACACCCCCAAGCACTTAAGGGCACCCAGACACCTGGGGCTGAGCCGGAAACCATGGGGGAGGACGGGGTGGGAGTGGACAAGTCCCACAGACACAGACACACGCCCCCAAGGCTCAGACACGGGCGTATATGTGGGTCTCAGCCACGCCTAACACACACAAACACACCTATCACACACAGGAGATACAGAGGTACAGAGGCACAGAGAGAACACCCAACCACCCGGACCCACTCAGAGGCTGGCATGCACGTTTATGCGGGAGCAGCCATGATGCCCCAGCTGGGAGGGAATGTGGCCGAGAGGTCGCCACGGTTCCCGGAGCAGGCCTTGTTAGCCTGCCTTAGCCGAGCTGTGTAATGAGGCCTCAGTGACAGGAGGCGCCTGGGGCTGCACACTCTGAGGCCTGTGCGCCCCCGCTGGGCTGCTGCAAGCTTCCTCCCTGTCCGCGGGGTGGGTGGTGCGGACCGCGGGCGGCCCCTGCGGGCAAGGCCGACCCCAACCCGAGCCGTTGGGGGAGGGGTGCAATGGGAGGGGCATTGGTAGCTGCACAGGGAGAATCCCGATCTCCAGCTCAGCTTCCCAGCAGAGAGGGTACTGAGTACCCAACAACTCCCCAGTGCTGCCCAATCTTCCCACTCCGAAGGGTACTCTAATTTTGTGTGTGATTGTTAAACATTCTTACCGACCGTGGAGTGGGAGAGGGGTGAGGTGGGAGTTGTGTCCTGGGCCCTCGAACCCCTGGCCCTACCTCCGATCTGTTTTCAATTCAGTCGGCTCCCCGGCCCAGACTTATGACCTTTGCGGCGGGTAGCAGCGTCATCCATCACCTAGGCGGGTGCCTGCGGGAGCTGGGGGCGCTGAGGGCTCCAAGAGGGTCTTGCCTTGTCGCCCTCTCTCGGGATCTGCTCTCGGGTCTGTGGGGCACGGCTCAACTGGCGGCAGAGTATTGAGGGAAGGTGTGACCCTGGGACTCAGTCTCCCTGGGCCTCGTGTCCCCACCTCTGGCACCCCAGCACCCCTCCCTCCAGCTCTTCGCCAGCCCATCTCTGCGCTCCTCCCGCCCCTCTTCTCTCGGGCCCTTTGCTTAATTTCCTATTAACTGCTGATAAATCCAATTAAAGCACCGCTCTAATTAGGGACAGCTGCCGGCTCGGTGAGGCGAGGGAGGGGGGCGCCCCCCGAGTGTAGGGGGAGAACAGCCGCTCTCCCTGCTCCTCCACACCCCCACACCAGCATCACCGCCCAATGAGCCAGTAAATTGGTTTTGCTTCAGCGTCGTGGGGGGCCCTGCTCAAAGATCTTGGGGGGCTGGGGTGTTGAGTCCCTCAGACTGCTTGATGAAAAGGCCCTAACCCTGCTATCCGTCCCTGCACACACTCGTGGTGGGCGGGTCCCCAGGAGGGATGTGTGTGTGTGTGTGTGTGTGCACCTGTGATCTGCTCCTATTCCACACCAATCGTGAAGGGAGGTGGGGGGGGGGCTGCCGTTATGACCCAGCCACTGGCCCCTGCCCGAGGCGTCTGGGACAGTCAAGGGCAAAGGGAACCAGGAAAGTGGACCCGGTTCTGCAGCGAGCCTTCCTGTGCACTTCCCCACCCCCATCGCACCTCAGCCTTCTGGAAGGAGGGGGTGCCCTCGTCCCAGGCCCCGCTCTTCCCCAGTCCAGCTGAGCCTCTGCCCTATCCCCCCCACCAGCCCCGCCAGCAGCAGATGGTGCCCGGGCTCCCGCTGCCAACCTTGCTAGGCGGTGCCAACCTCAGTCGTGGCAGACAACGGGCAGACAAGAAGAGAAGCGCCTGGCTGGCCAAGCCGACCCTCCCCCACCCACCATCAAGCTCAAGACCCTCCGCCTGCCCCACTCCAGCGACCACCCCAGGCTGCCTCTCACTGGTCCGCTCCCAGGTCCCCAAACTCCACGTCTCCTTCTGCTCCTTTCCCCACACCTTCCCGCTCCTCGCCACCTGCCGCCCTGACCGGGGCCGGCAC